CCGGGGCGCGGGCGATGCTGATCCGGAAGAGGCGATGGCTGCAGTGGCGCGCGCGCGGCCGCTCCGGGCCCGCCGACCTGCCCCGGCTGCCCCGGCGGAGTTTCTGATCTAAAGCGCCAGGGCCCGGAGCCTGTAGCGGGAGCAGCAACAGCAGCAGCAGCTCGGCGGCGCTGGCATCGTCCTAACTTGCACGCGCGGAGTGACCCCAGACATTTCACTAAAATGAGCGTGCTTAGCAGGAAGAGATGTGTTCCTTACACTAGAAATCACCCCGTCACATGTAGTGGTGTAAGTAAATGATTAATTTCTATTATGGCCGGGTTGCAAGCAGCCTCTGGGAACGCGCCGCTTCGCCCTCCTGCGCCCTCCCGGCCCTGTGTGCGCCCCTCCTGACTTCCCCTGGGCTCCCACTCTTCCCTGGGCGGTAGTTTCAGCGGCTGGGGTCTTAGGTGGCGGGGGACTAGTCTTTTCCGGGTTTTTCTAGGGAAAGGAAGACGACTTGATTGCCTTGATGTGTGGAGGCCTTCCCCCTTCCCTCTTTAAAATTATTTTTATTTTGTGTGTGTGTGCAGAGCAGCGTGTCAGGAAAAACGGTCCAGAGTGGTGCAAATGTTTCCTTTAAAAACCAACGGGATTTGGGTGCTTTGCCTGTCGTTCCAGAGATGTTTATTTCAACCCAACTCCATTGCAGTCTGTGCATCTGAGTTCTGGCAAACTACTGGGAGAAATCCTTGGCATTGTTTGAGAAAGCTTAGTCTGGTTAGGCTTGCATTTTTGTTAATATGGTCATTCAAAATCCCTTTGGGCCTTGCTGACCACTGGATCTTCAGTGGGACTCATCTCTCGGTCTCCCTTCATATTACAATGTCAGAGACTCTGGTGGGAGCCTCCTTTAATTCTAAGGCCACCCTCTCCGCTCATCTCTTCCCTATCCAGCCTTCCCACCCATCCTCCTTTATTTTTACCTTCATTTGTAGGATATTCCTCTCCTTCGCATTTTGTAAGATGTGGGGTGTGGGATATTGGTTGCTAGGAGACAAGCCAGGCTCCCAGGGAGATTCTGTCGTTTCCTTGACAACCAGACTAGGGCAGCCGCAGATGAACAAGCCTCCTATCAGCTGTTAGGGAGAAAGGGGGACTTTTCTGAGCTCTGCAAAGAGTGTTTGTAGGGGTGTAGGGGTGGGACTGGGAGCTGGTGAGGGTTGTAGATAATCTGAGCACACCTTGCTTTTTGGTCTGCCCTAAGTACAAAGAGCTGGGAGAGCAGTAGGCGAGAGGCTGTTTTGGGAAAGGGAACAGGGATCATGGGACCAAGTGGGGAGGGAGCATTTAGGTGACTCTAGGATCACTGAGGGACAGGGATGAATTGCGTGTTGTGATGCCAGGGAAGGGTGGCATGGAAGCTGTAGTTTATGGAGGTTGTTACTCAGGAGTCTCAGAAGGCATGGGGATGAGGCAATTTGTGCAGAAAAGTCAAGAGTCATTGAAGGAGAGAGTGCCAGAAGGAAATGGGAAGTTGACAAGCTCATTGAGTGGATTATATCATCATACATCATCAATGATACAGTAAAGTAGCAATATTTTAGAGCAAAAATCACATTATTGCTGGGGTGGCACGCTATCTTTGTTTAAGACTGGCCTGATGAGACTAAAAGTTCTGCTGACTTAATTGGGCCAGGCTGTATTGTAAAGAGCGATATAATTACACATATAGATATGTAATTTAGCATTATATAATCCCACATTACATAAGAAGGCAAGGACCTCCTTTCAGCCCAGCCTCTACTGGCACAAATTCACCAAGATTCAGGAGACTTTCTTCCAAAGCCCTCATACCCATTTTCCAGAAGGACAGACTGACACACAGAGAAGTGGAGTGATTTGCCCTTTCCTAGATATGATAATGAAGTTTAGCAGTCCAGGCAGTTGGGATGGGTGGAGGGGGTGGGAATGATGAAAATAGGGAGAAAGTGGAAGGAGTGGTAGGGGAAGGATGGGGAGAGGTGGTCCAGTCTGAGCAGCAACCAGCAGGTCTGGTGTCTAAACTCACAGCACAGCGTGTGCCACTCTCCTACTTGGGTGGCTGTCCCTACTTTACCCTAGACGTGCATAAGGCACTTTAAACTCAAGTGTTTCTGACTCGCAGTTCCACATTATGTAAAGATCACACTGTCTTTCCAACACAAATGGTGAGGATCTTTATGGCCATGATGATCTGGAAAGGGAAACCCAGCCTCGAGGGGACTGATATAAAGTTTGGACCAAAAGCAGGAAGATGACCTGCTGGGATTCGTGCTGGTAGCCTTGCTTATGCACTTGTGCGTGAGGGTTTTAATCATAAACTTGCTGATCTTGGACCAGCTCTGCTCTGCTGTTCTGGCATCCTCCCCGCTATCAAGATGCTCCTGGACTTAAGAACTGATCCTCCTCCTCTGTGCCTCCTCACCGCCCCCCCAATCTAAATTTGAGAAAGAAGTTCTACTGGCTAGTGGGTTTTGTTTTTCTCCTATAGCTGTGTATATGTGTTCTATCTCTTTTGTTCTTCAATTGATACAACAGAAACCACAACCCAGAGGATTCCTCCCAGCTGCCTGCTTCAGTCCAGGAGCCGTCAAAGTAGGGTTCCTGGGCCTTAGCTCAGGAGAGATCAGGGAGGAGGCAGCATGATGATTAAAATAAAGGCTGCCTGCTAGGGAGGTAAGAGGGGGGTGGAGGAGGGAGAGGATGATGCAGACAGTTACCCTGGAAACTGGGGAGGGACCTGCATGGAGACCCTTGTTGTTTGGGGTCCAGATCCTGTAAAATTCCAAGAAGGAGGAGGCACTTGTCTCATTGAGAAGTCCTTGCTGCACATTTTGCTTAGGTTGCTGAGATGCATCCACTTGTTCCTTGGATATCTGGGCTCCGCATTCCTGCATGCTGGCATCCAGTTACAGCCCGGCAGGAACCGAGCTGCTCTGTTGCTGCCGGTGGCCTGGCTCTCCGGCTGGGTGGCTCAGCAGTGAGAGCACCTGGGCAGCCTCCAGGACTCCTCTGATCTCAGCCTTCCTTGGCCTAGGAAGGATTTCTCCAGCTTGCTCCAGCCCCCAGCGGACTTCATTCACACCGGGCATGTGAGCAGGGGCGGACCAATAACACTGACCAAACGAAGGCCTAATAATAATAATGCCTGCCTTGCCCCAGCTTCCACGAGGATGGTGCCAGCAGGGAGGGTGCCAACGAAAGCCCCCTCAAGCCAAGGGCCCCTCCTGGTGACAGCTTTTTAAACACTGACATGACATTTTGATTACAGAAGGTCCTTCTGATTGTTAATTTGAGCCATCCCTTCCTGAGGATGGACAAACCACGTCCTCTCTGCCCAACACAGAAGGAAAGTGAGGCAAACGTTTGCCCAGAAATTCAGGTCCGTTTCTGACCCTGCGCTCCCTCCCCCCAGCTACCTCATTACCCTTGCAGCCAATTCAGGGAGCATTCTTATAGGAGTGTCAGGTGTCTGGGGGCTTCCAGCCTGAGACTTCTCCCTAGGAATGGGGGGTGCAGAAGGGGGTGTAACTCGCTCTCCCTGCGGGAGAGCATGGAGGACAGGCCTGGAGAGGGGATGGCAAGGCCTATGGGCCATGGAGCATATAGTCATAGTCCCATGGTTACCCCCCGCCTCCATCTCAAAACTGGGCCTACAGCTGAGTGAGCCAGCCACACAGGCCACATGATAGACCCAGAGGAGGGATGGGAGGCCTGTGGGCTGCTCAGGTGCACCCAGAAGCCTCCCCACCCAGAGAGGTTGGGAGGAAAATCTCTGGCATCTCCATCAAGGGAACTGGGGGCTTGGAATCCACAACCAGAGGAGAGAGGGCAAGGTGGAGGCCAGGAGAGCTGCCTCCCAGCTCTGACAAGTCCATTAAATTTTAAAGTGGCCCTGCCCTTGGGCGTGCTGGGAAGGGGTGGGGACCTGGCCCTGACTCTGCTTCTCTCAGCTATTTGTTGTTCTGCTGCCACAGCCCTGCCGCGGGAGGAGAGTGGGTGATGAGCGAGCTTCTTGGGCAGACTCTCCTCTTTCTGGGAGCGAGGGGACAGGTGCTGGGCAGGCTCTACCTGGGGTTCTCTCATGGGCTCCTCCATCCAGAAGCCCCGTTGGAGGATGGTGGCAACCAGAGGGAGACAAGTGGTTCATCCGGTAGAAAGGGTCCTCTCAGCCTGAATGGGCTCCTCGCTCCTTGGGCTCCTGCAGAGCTACTGCCCAGAAAGCTGCCCACTCCTTTCTCTTCCTCTCTGCTCAAATGCTGGAAGAAGGGGCGGCCCTGGCCAAGGAGAGCTGCTGGCCCTGGCCCTGGCCCTCTGGGACCTGGTGTGCGAAGCCGTTTTGACCGCTTCTCTCCTCTCCCTCAGGTCCCAATTAATGGATTCTGACATGGATTATGAAAGGCCAAACGTAGAGACCATCAAGTGTGTTGTGGTGGGGGACAACGCCGTGGGCAAGACCAGGCTCATCTGTGCCCGGGCCTGCAATGCCACCCTCACGCAGTACCAGCTGCTTGCCACCCATGTGCCCACAGTTTGGGCCATCGACCAGTATCGAGTGTGCCAGGAGGTAAGGCTGCAAGGCCACTGGGCAGGGGTGCATACCATGCCTCTGGGCTTCTTCCAAAGCCCTTGCTTGGTGTCTCCAACCCTGGCCTGTGCTGAGCTCACAGAAGCCCCGTGGGGGTAGGTAGGGCGGCTGAAGAGGAAGGAGCCCTGGAGAGAGGGCTGAGGAGAGCCCACCCCAGTGTGTGTGGGGGGTTCCTCCACCGTTTGTGTCTTGTATGACTGACCTGATGCCTGGGCACAGCATCTTGTGCAGTTACAGCCCCAGTAATGGGGAGCAGTAGGGGGTGGGCTGGGGTGGGGGTTTGGAGAGATGAGAGCTGAGAGAAAGAAAGAAACGGCTAGCTGATACCAAAAGGTCAGAGGCTTCTAAACAGGTGATCTGCAGGTGAAGCTGGAAACAGGGTAGGCTCCCTGAGGGATACTTTCCACGCCCATGACCGGCTGCCCTCTTAGAGTCTCTTTCCTCGTGGTCAGCTTGGAGGATGCCCTTGTTACTGAGTCTATGGAGACGGCACCAGATAAAAGTGTTGTGTGGGACACACGGGGCAGTGCTACCTCCTCCTCTCCACTCATCATGCTGCCAGGATCCTTGGGGGTGGGCTGGCACCACCCTGAGCTGCCACGCAGGGACCCCAAGAACTCTTGCCTTTGAGTTAATTGCATTCTGTCTCCCCCACAGGTTCTGGAACGCTCCCGAGATGTGGTAGATGATGTCAGCGTCTCCCTGCGCCTCTGGGACACCTTTGGAGACCACCACAAAGACCGTCGATTTGCTTATGGGAGGTAGGGAAGCCTCTGCTGCTTGAAGGGAGGCCAGGGGTGGGTTTCCCAAAGAACAGAGCAACTCTGAGATATTCTGACTGAGAGGAAGGAGTAGAGCAGGCAGGACTGGCAGATCCTCACAGGGGAGGCAGCCTGGAGGTGAGAAGAAGGGGTTTGGAGTCAGGAGGCCTGGTTTCAGTCCTAGCCCTGCTGCCGACTAGTTCTGTGACTTTGGGCAATTAGGGGAACTATTCAGAGATGATTTTTCTTAGCCTCAGGATGGTAAAAATTGTATTTTCTAACAAGATAGCCATGAGGTCAAAATGAGAGTCTTTGAAAGCTCTAAAACACAAAATAAAAGGTACATAAATTAGAGGTACTGTTATTATACATTTTGGGTAAGATCATGTGAACAGATCATATGACAGATGTGGGACTGTCATATAGGGGTGGGATAAGAATGCTTGTTGTCCCTTGTTCCAGGGGCAAGTAATCTACTGCTAGCTTTCTCCACCCCTAACCTCACTCTCCCACCCCCAGGTCCGACGTGGTGGTTCTGTGCTTCTCCATTGCCAACCCTAATTCCCTTCACCATGTCAAGACCATGTGGTACCCAGAGATTAAGCACTTCTGCCCCCGAGCACCTGTCATCTTGGTGGGCTGCCAGCTGGACCTGCGCTATGCTGACCTGGAGGCTGTCAATAGGGCCAGGCGACCCTTGGCTAGGTAGGGATGCTGGTGCCTAGGAAGGGGCAATGAGGAAGACAGAGGGAGAGGGTATGTGTCTCTAGCACTCTCTGCTCAGCCCTGAGGGAATCCACTTAGCCTTACATCTCTCCCTTCATTTGTAACAAGTCCATGTAGGGAGCCAACAAGAGTGTTCAGTCTTTCATTTACTCCACCCATCTATTCATTTGCTCATCTATTCATTTATCTCTCACACACTGTGTTGGTAATACTGGACTAAGCAGGACGAAAGAAGGAGAGAGGCAGTCTTTGCGTGAAAGGAGCTTATAATCTTGCTGGGAGATGAACTTCATATGAGAACATGTTAAAAAACAATATGGAGCCCTAGCTGGTTTTGCTCAGTGGTTAGAGTGCCAGCCTGTGGACTGAAGGGTCCCAGGTTTTCGATTCCGGCCAAGGGCATGTACCTCAGTTGCAGGCTCTATCCCTGGCCCTGATTGGGTGGGAGGCGACCAGTCGATGTGTTTCTCTCACTTTGATGTTTCGCTCTCGCTCTCTCTCTCCCTTCCACTTTCTCTGAAAAGCAATGGAAAAAATATCCTCGAGGGAGAATTAAAAAAAAAAAAAAATGTGGAAAACTGCCTGCTGACTGCCAGAGAGGGAGTTAGTGCTAACTCTACTTTGGGCTGGGGAAATCTCTGGGGCCTGACAGATACTGAAGGCTTCCCGGAAGAGGAGGGGATTGGAGGTAGGCCTTGAAGGACTGGTAGGATTTGGTCAGACAGAAGAGAAAGGGCAGAGATTCATTAGAATTGAGCGGGGCAGGAGTGGGGCCAGGAACATAGATCCTGAACAGAGACTCTCCCCACCCCCAAGCCTGGTGAGTGGGCAGGCCCTAGGGACCT